ATATTGGGGGTGGAAACAACTGCTGTGCTCGAAAGACAACACCTGTTTGAAATGTAAACAAAGAAAATTTCGAAAAAACACTGTGTAGCATTTTCTCAAATTTTCAGACACCCATTTGCATGGAAAGAGCATAGTAGCAAGAAATAGGAAATTAAAAATAGATACAATACAGGAATGTGATGTGTTTACACGAAACTGTCAAGTTTCTGTGCTGCGTGACGCCATGACTGACGCAAAATCACGCAGAACGACAACGGTAATAATCGGCATTTCTGGCTTCTTCTCTATCTTAAAATGGGAGTGTATTTGGCAATTTCTCTGAAGTGAAGGTCGGTAGAATAAGAGTATACACAATCACCATATCCCGCCGATTACACTTTCAGTATCATAATGTAATCGTTCGGATATTTTTCCATGAAACTAATTTAATTATCTACAAGTAGCCTTGTTCAATATCATATCATACGTGGGTATAGGGTATACGTGTTATATTCTTTGAAAGTGTTTGTTTGAATAATATTTACAGAAGAAATTCACACATTTAGTGTAGTAAAGCATATATAAACCTTTCCACAAGTGTTAAAAGATGAAACGTAGGCATCATGTACTTGTACAACATGTATTTTAGTTCCTATGATGTGCATAGATACAGTTTCGTATGTAACTCTTCGTCAGAATAATTTCCAATATCGAAGTCCAGTCCACGATACACCCTATCCTTTCTTTGCTGAACTGGCATCATGAAAGCAGTGTTAGCCATGAACGCCATTTGCGAGTTAACCACACTGTTAAAAAGTTAGCGGCGGTCCTTAGGTGTGTTAACTTAACGTCACGTTAACAGCCTGTTAAAAGTTAACAGAGTTTTGAACAACAAGATAACCCTCTGTTATTAGGTAACAGTCGGTTAAATGTACTTAACGGCTGGTTAAAAGATAACCGAGTTTTGAACAACCGGGCCCTGATAGACGACAGTGTGTCTCTGTTAATGGAACATTATGAAAAACTAAATGTTACTGCAGGGGTTCCTCAAGGATCTGCCCTTGGTTAATTTGTGTTCCTTGTATATATCAATGATTTACCTGGAAATTTACAAAATATCACAATAATGTTGGCCGATGACACATCAATCGGTGTTGCGGGAAAATATGTAAAATCCATAGAAGCAACTCTCAACTATGATTTAGCCCAATTGAATAAATGGGCAGAAAAGTGGTGTGGTGTGTTCTAACGGTATATCTAGCATACTTTAAGACATAGAGGGGGTGGTGGTGGTTCTAACGGTTATATCTCAAATACATGTAGAGGCGGGAGGCCTAACGGGTATGAACAACAATAAAAACTTTCATGCATTTATGACCCACATTTTCGAACCTTTTATCAGTCTCTAAAAGGGGAGCTGGCAATAGATTTTAATGAGCTTCGTCCTTCAACCCTGGAAACCTTTTAATATGGTTGATTAATCCTTTGTCATTTATCAAAAAAGTAGTGAGGTTGTGCTTTATTGTTATAGATTTCTAAAATATATGGACACTATTGGGACGTTGGTAACTGTCATCAGACATTATTTGACGACATTTCTCATGGTTTGAATATAGCCGACTTTATAGAAGATAAATATCAGTTTACAACACAACTGCCTAAATCTTGGTATTTTCGAAATCAGAGAAGGGATATGCCGATATTTAGCTCGTTAACCTAGCATATTATGGTCACGAATATAATTTTCTATTTATTAACGAAGTCTTTAATTGCGGAAATTACGCGATAATCTACTTTCCAACAAAGGCAGGCTCCCCGTCATCGTTGTATTTAGAAGGCGGCTTCTTAGAAGCAACGTGACGTCATAATATTGTTCATGATGTCATGTCACCATGACAAAGTGATATTTTACCCGGTGCATATCGCATGAAAACAAATTATCCCCGATAAATTTGCCCTCGTATGTTATAAGCATTGTTATTATCATTCTTTGAGGTTAATGCCACCCGTTGAATTCTTTGTTGTATTTTGAGCGGTGAAACTAAATAAATGATTTCTTTGGTCTACCCATAACAATTAAGGTGTCAACTTCCACTGTATACCTTACAGAAAGAAGTTTTGACTTTACTTTGATAACGAGCACATCTGATCGATTCCTTGAAGCAAATGATGCAATTCAATATCATTTCTACATTTTATTTTAAATGCATCAATCAAATACAACAAATGAGGAGACAGATTGACTGCTATGTGGCAAGGAATAACCAGGCGCCAGCGATTTATGATATCCTTAGCAAATGTAACTTAAAATTCCTTCTCATAAAAATACAATAATATGTAGTAATATGATGAAGAAAATAATACGAAGCAGGTTAAACTATGACAACGCAATATATGAATGTATGATCGAAACATAAATCATAATAAATCACATATGATTAAAACATTAAATTAACTTCAAATATGTCATTGCGTCAACATTGAAAATAATTCGAAAATGAAGAAAAGAAACGTACATTTCAAAGCGTAAACAAATAATATCCTGTTATTTTGGGATATGCTATGAAGAACTTCAAAATGTAATAGAAATAAAATTAAATTATTGAAAGCTATTGCTCGTAAAATATGTCCTTGCGTCAACATCGAAAATAACTCCATAATGAAAACTAATTAACTTTAATTTTCGAAACATACACAAATAATCTCTGGCTTTTTAAGACGTGTCACGAATAATTTCACAGCTGGTAGAATTAACATGAAATTATAGAAACCATATGCTAACAAAATTTGAAAATTAGTAATGACAAAGCGTTTGTCACAAACATATAGCTATTACCCCCGCCACATGTCGATATCTGAATGTAGCAATTATCCTCTGTCTGACCCTGAAAATTATGTAAACGTTACCGAAACTGTCATCTGATGCCTTGATACAAAATGCGAACAAATTCCATCCATTAGGTTTGGAGATATCCAAGAATACTCGCTGTGACCTTGAAAATAATCCGAAGGTCACTGAATTCGACTGGCGTTAGACGATACTCCCAACGCATCTTGGTACTACCTTTAAAGCAAAACATATTAATTCTGTCTTGTATTTTCGCACTAAAAGTTAGACATGTGCAAAACACTTTTCACTGTGAACTTAAAATGAGCACAAGTTTCCCAATCAATTGGTGTTGGGGAATCCCGCCAATACACCTTGATATAAAATTGGATCAAAATCTATTAATACTTTCCTGAGTTCGCGGCTACCAAGCTTGGCATGTGCAAAACTGTTACACCTTCGCTGTGACCTTTAAAATGACCTCAAGGTCACAAAATTCAAGTGGTGTCGGTAAATCTCCAATCTCCAGTCAATAAACCTTGGTACCAAATTTGAACAAAATCCATCATTTCTTTCTCGAGTTCTTTCAGTAAACAGAATGGGGAGTCATTTGAACAAGCGATTGTAGTTTCAAATTGCTTTTTTTGTGCAGTTTAATATCTAAGTTTGATTCTAGACGACTTCTACCAATCTCAAACATAGCATATTTTGTTTCCTGAAGTTTGTGATGCATTTTATTGCAGATTTTACGTTTTTTGGGAGTACCAAGCCAAGATACAAAGTCTCACAAAATGGGATCGTGAGGCTGCAACATAGCAAAACCAATTTGCTTGAGGCTGACAGATAATATGTAGAAAAATAAAACATAAAAAACAGCTGCATTTGTATCATATTCTAGGTGAGGCTGACTACTATTTGAACGCCCCTCGTAGTTATACCCGTTAGAACACCCACCCACCTCTCCGACTCTACATGCATGCAAGTGTGTTAGATATACCCGTTAGAAACCCACCCCCACTTTATATGTATACATATCAAAACCTCAAAAGATATTTGCGAAAAGACATGATACAGAGGACAGTTTATATCGATTATATATCAGGACGAATATCATTTTCGTCATTTAGCTAAGATTTGTCAATTCATTCTTGGGTTATCGCGCTAACAATCTTTATATTGGCAAAACCCTCAGATTTTTGCTGTGACCTTGAAAATTATCTCAAGGTCACTCCATTTCACTTGTGTCGGTGAATCTCGCCAATATACCTTGGTACCAAATTTGAACAAAATCCATCATTTCTTTCTTGAGTTATCGCCCTAACAAGCTTATTTGATGTATGAAATGCAACGAAAAACAAACACCCGCGTATTTACGAGTGATTAAAACTGTTATTACAATTTACGTAAATATTTATTACATTTTACCGCAACGAAAAGTATTACAATTTACGTCAATTTTATTACAATTTGCGTATTACAATTTACGTCAATTTTTATTACAATTTACGTTTTTATTACAATTTACGTCAAGTTTATTACAATTTGCTGCAAGTATTACAATTTGCGTTTTTATTACAATTTACGTCGTAACAAGATTCTCCGGAAAATTCTTGGTGGGTTCGACTAGGCAGTGTTTCCTTGGAGAAGTCCCATTCGCTGTCTAGGCTGTGTGTAGAGGGGGCGAGGGCCCTGAGCTGACGATGAGCCTTACCAGCCTGACTGTGCCAGGATCACCCGAACCCTCTCTGCTGCATTTTCATCTTTAATCTATATAACATAATAATAATAATAATAATAATAATAATAATAATAATGATTTCATCACTACGTCACCAGGACGTGACAGGAGCTTTGCGGTGTATTCACCGCTATTCTTTCAAAGAAAACAATAAGACAAATGTCTGACGAAAGAGGTTTCAAATTAAATTACACACGCGGAAACTTTCTTCTCTTGAATCCAATAGGACTTATTCGTAAACTGCTTGCAGTGAGTCGGTCTAGTGTGACTTCCAAGAGCAATAAACGGTATTTCCATGTTCTTCTAAAGTAGATACGTCATTATTGTAAATGGTTTCGACTATCCGCATGTATGGGTGACGGAGGACATGAATATGTTGCCGAGAAGTATTCCCGATGGTTAAATCATACATTAAATCTTCAGTGAAACTGATCAGTGTGTCAATCTTCATTTCAGAAAGAACATACGTGACGGTTTTTACACAGAACTTCGTTGGCTATTCGCACAACATGTACCTATACATTACCTCATCACGTCCACAGCCAGTGACAGTTGAAGTGTTTGTTCCGTACCTAAATACCGCCGCTCCTTTCCAAAACCTCACGCTTGACCCAGGACAAAGAACCAAGTTCACATTGCCTGCTGATGTTCAGATGCCTACAGGGACGAGGACGTCAAACAGGATCATCCGCGTCGTGGCTTCCGACGATGTCACAGTGTTGGCACTAAACGCCGAAGCGTCGAACCTTGATATGTATCAAGTGAAAGAGACGAGTCAACTTGGAAAGGAGTATGTAGTCGTGGCGCCTGACTCTTACAATGCCCAATCTGCAGCTACGGTGGGAGTAGTCTCCCCTTTCCAAAACACTGAAGTGAAGGTCACACTTCCAGACATGCATCCCACCATTTCTGCAGTAGTAAATGGAGTCCCACAGACATTATCAGGAGAGTTTTCAATCACACTGCAGGAAAACCAAACGTTTCAGATTCAGTCCGTTAACGAACTTTCTGGAATGTACATTGCATCTAACAAACCCATTGCCGTTTTGACCGGAGTAAACAGGACTGAATCATCTAGCAATCTGTGTTTGGACGGGCAGATAACTCAGCTGTTAAGTTTAGACAAAATAGGCACGAAATACATTGCTTTTGGGCTACGTTTATCTAATCCTAAGGACTACATAAACATTGTTTCAACACAAGCAGACACGGACATCTCATTTGATGGAACTACGACACAACTTACGAATGCAAGGGAGATAGCTAGACTACGTATTGAGCGAAATCAGTTCAAATTGATTGAAATGTCTAAACCAGCAGTCGTATCTATGACAACTGCATCAGGTAAATCACCCACTATCCAGGGTGATGTGTCCAACTACATGCTTCATCCTCTTCCACTGAGGGACCTCGTCTACACAATCACAGTGCCGGACGATACAGTGATCTCAGACTCTCATAGATATCTTGTCATCATGGTTGAGAACGATGGCGTGGGCGACATTCTGTTGGACGACGTTGTCATCTCAGGACCTTCGTGGATACCAGTCACGGGCACCAATATTTCAGCCTGCTTCTATTCGGTGACAGATAATACGGAGGCCAGAGTCCTGAGACACAGACGAGGAAAGCCGTTGGCTGTGTATTTGCAGGGCTTCAGTCATTGTAATGCATACTCTATTGCATTTGAAGCCAATGATAGAGATGTAAGTGCTCTTCGTGACTCATAAACATAAAATACATATAACTCATAAATGCATGAGTATATATATTATCTAAAGGCTAAAAGGAGTATTTAAGAAACTTATGAATGCTTATTATGATGAAGAAATAATAATGCAATTTTCCAATTACATAGATCAATTTTATCGCTGCCGCTTTTACAATTCAATTGATAAAACGGCTTTATGCATATGAAAATATACACAAATTTTCACGCTACGGTATGTACACATTAAACTCTGACCAAGCTAGAGTAAGAGAGGTACAACTGTTGTCTTTTGGAACCAAAGCATGTGTAATGACAGTTAGTACAAACTAAAGTCGCATCTGGTATACATTTTAAACCTCTATCTGAACTTTGGCTGTATCGCAGAACAGTTAATGTATAAACGTTTACACAGACAGCACCAGGCACAGACAGTAGAATTCTCACGGTCTACACAGGTAGACAGCTGGTATCGTAAAACGTGTATTTCAGTATTTCTCTATGTCACTTTTATCATTATTTTGCGAGTAGAAATATTTGCATGGAACAAATATATAGTCTACTCAAGTTCTAATGTAGAACTACCGGTGACAGGAAGTGTATTCTGGAAACAGAGATTCCGCTGCAGTATGATCTTAATCACAGATGTACTGATGCATATGATTTGTTGTAGAAACTTCTCCCTGCGGTCAACCACACTCAAGGTTTGTATCTTCAGCACAAATATCAGATCTCAGCATACATTTATAGTTATTAAGCATTGGACATATTTTGTATCAAAATATATTCACAATATTGAAACACATCAGAAATTAATTTAGATTTCAATGGTAAGAACAATATGGCCATTGTGGGCGGATATAGTTCGCTAAACCTTTCTGTTGGTTGCTTGGCACCACATCCATCTCCATGGAGATCTGCATGGATAATATATATATTCTGAAGAAGTACGATTTTGACAGCTGAATTGGTTGATATTGTACTATTACCAATTGATGAAGATGACATTGTCAGTTGATCTTTCAGTGTAAAATGATAGAACGACATTGCCAGTTGATGTTTGAGTGTAACATATAAGGACCACATTGCCAGTTGATCGTTCAGTGATAGGACCACATTGCCAGTTGATCGTTCATTATCAGATATGATAATATACCTTTGCCGGCGCTGGTTCAGTGATACAATCGTATTCGGGAAGATGACATTGTTAACTGATAGTTGCAAGTTACTTGTGAGGACGACATTGTCACCCCATCATGCTTAGGTTGTCGATGATGGGTCGATGTTGCATGCTATCACGACTTTGTCAGCTGTTCGGTGTAACATGTTACAGCAACATTGTTACTGATTTGTCAGTGTTACATGCGAACTCAAAACTCAATAATCAGTTTACAGATCGGCGATTAAGTTTTGTTCTTTATTTCAAAAAGCTTATATAACAATAAAGATACTTAGACGATAAGGAGAGTTATTTTAATTGCCAAGATGTTGACGTTACTGCAACTGTTGTTTGTTTTAGTTAACTCTCGAGACCTCCGTACAAACCAAGGAAAAAGAAAGACGTCTCAACGGATGAAGGCACTCAATGCACCGTTTCTACAAGCTTGTTTCTCCTTCTGTCTCAACTACGCGGAATGTGAAGGTGTGAACTACCTACTGAACGCTTTGCCGACGGCCATCAACTGTGAGCTTCTGTTCACCGAGACTGATGGACAACAAGACAGTGCTGACTGGACGTACTATCAGCTCGTGCCTGAGTCAGTCTGTGATTAACTGATTCAGGAGAGTTTCATTGATAGCAGGAGGTCACATTTACATTATGTCGTTCTATCACATTGTACCCAACTAGGTACTAAGACTGTGATAAATGTTATCTACTACGAACTTGGGCCGTAATAATTCTTATTATGTTAGTAAGGATACGTTGAACGAAACAATATGTTTTTATTCGTTTGCTCGACAAAAGTTGATAACGCAATGGAATTCAACTTGATTTAAATGTTACGTATACCATTTGGTGAGATTGTATTGACGTTTAACCTTTCGAACTGAAATGTAAACTGAATTGTTTTCGTATATTGCATAACTTTGGTATGAATTATCAACAAGAGGTTTTTAACTATTGTGAACTTCAATTCAGGCCATATCATTTTTCTAATTGTTAAAACATCCAGTGAGTTCATATGGATTCTGAATGACCTATGTCTATGTAAAGGTATTTGCAGTAAATGGCATAACAGAGAACAATTTAAGGTCCAACATCATGATGGTAGACATACACGGATTTAGGATCAGGAGGTTATGTACCCAAAGTTTTGCTCAAAAGAGCGGGAAATACTTTAGAATGGAAAGATTCAAAGACGACACAATGACATTAAGAACGTGTCAAATGTAACCTATGTTATATTTGGGATTACACTTTCTCAGTAAAGTACAGATTCTAGTACTTTTGTTGCGCCGAGTCACTTCCTGGATTAACCCGTGAAGATCCGGGTTAGAATTGATGTTCAGGAATACATTCTTGTCGTGAGAGGCGACTAACGGGATCGGGTGGTTAGGCTCTCTGACTTGGTTGACACATGTCATCGTATCCCAATTGCGTAGATCGATGTCATGCTGTTGATCACTGATTTGTGCGGCCCAGGCTCGATAATTTACAAACCGCCGCCATATAGCTGGAATACTGCTGAGTGTTGCGTTAAACAACAACCAACCAACCAACGGTCATGAACCAAATGCACAAACGCGTAACACAGATAATACAGATTACCCACCCATCCGGGATTCGAACCCACAACCTAAGAGTCAGGCACCTAATCGCCAGCACACAAAGTTAGCCATTGTGTGGTATGTTAAAAAGAGGTGGAAGTTATTGCTACAGGATATTGTATATGTATCAAATAATTACTGTAAATTAGTATAATTATCTTGTATGTTTTATCAACGAACATATTACTATCTAATGTAAGCAGTGGTGTGGAAGTATTTTCAGATGCTTTTAGGTGTCACGTGTAATGTAGAATCTTCTGGAACAAAAAAACCCAACTAATCCAGCATGGTATGGACATTTTATTTTTGAAGTCGACACGTAACATAACCGTTTTCTTGCCACTATGCTCTTACAATATCCCCTCAAGTATAATAAATGTTGTTACTGTTATTTCGTCCCCTGTGTTGTATGATTTTGTATTCATACATATCCTATCGTTTGATTGTGCCGCACGCAGTAACGCCTAAATGCAGTAAATTCTTAGGGTGACATTCCTGATTTGGACAAACTTGGAAGAATTCATCTTAGGGCTATTGGCATGCTGAAAACTGTCAGGTGAGGGTGCAGTGACCATTACTCTCAACACTGCACAGTCTGTGATCAACGATTAGCTGACGGGAAAGGTACCAACACACTCTCGATGTTGACGATCGACATATTTCATGGAGCATCGGGTCATTTGAACCGGGCACTTTTAAATCGAGCTCATCAATTGTTGCAGGCTATTGGAATCCAAATTCGCTTGGCATTTCCTTGGTGGGCGTGGTCATGACTTGAGACGTGGAAGTGAACTCCCAGCCAATGTCAACCTGGGACCTCATAATAGATTTGGCGGTGGATCGGTTATGGTGTGGGTTGGTATCACTATGACTTAGCGAAGCTCGCTCCATATTGTGCAAGGAAGAATCACCGGACGGTGCAGAGGGGACAACATACTGACACCTTTAGCTAACTGGGCTTTCAAGTCATTTCGACGACAGTTTCTTTTGAGGACGACATCCATAAAATCCATAAAATGTCATGGCCAACAGGCCCTGAATACGTCTGGACATCATATTGCTTCACCGTCATGCAGGATACCATGTTGGCTAAACCTGTACAGACTTGTTAGATGAACGCAGACGACTTCCTCGTATCGCCATTGGAAGACACGTTCATCGAGTGAATTAATGTCTGACAAACCAGGATGGTATTAACTGATTAAAACACACCATCTTTAAAACTTCCCTTGTTGAACCTATCGTCCTTCAGGATCGTTGACGGTCACAACAGTTACTGTAATACTACACTACCGTCTTGGTGTGTTTCCGATCCGTTCATTATTATCATTCAGCTACAAGTCGAAACTCGTAACCCTTTCTTTGAAAAGTGACCATTTATAGAATGGGAATGCCTACTTTTTACCTTAATGTGTTTTTGCAACATTTTCAATGTATACTAGCCACATAAAGAAACTGTGCATTGTCAAAATATTATCCCAGTTGATCAGTACGATAACAATGTCAAAGGTCCATATAAACTTTAATGGAGGGATCATGAGACCATAACAAGTCGGGAGAATTTCAATTGAAAAGTCAATCACAATGACGTCACGAGTCCACAAGCGGGACAGGGGTCAAACAACCATGTCACAAGCTCAATAACGGGTATGTCCACCATCGGCATTGAGAACAGAAGTGCATCTACGACGCATAGAGCCTATGAAACGTGCAAGGAAGGCTTGTGGGATGTCACGCCAGATTCTCTCAAGTTCAGTTGCATGGTCAAGGACGTTATCTGGCGGATGAGGAAGACGGCGTAGACGTCGATCCATCTCGTCCCAAACATGCTCTATCGGAGAGAGATCCGGTGAATTTGCAGGCCAAGGCAGTAAGTCAACGTTGTGGTGTTGCAAGAAATCCATAGCAACCCTTGCCGTATGAGGGCGGGCATTGTCCTGTTGGAATGTTAACCCCCCAGGGCCATGACGTTGCAGAAAAGGAATTGCCACAGGTCGAAGAATCTGATCCCTGTAGCCCGCACCATTGAAGTTGCCCTGAACAATCACCAAAGGAGTTCTTTGGCGTGCTGTTAATCCACCCCAAATCATCACGGAACCACCACCAAAGCGATTCCTCTCCAAGACACAGGCCTGTGCATAACGTTCTCCCACGCGTATATAGGCACGTTGACGTCCATCACTATGGGAAATGTTAAACCTGGACTCATCTGTAAAAACAACATTTCTCCACCAAAACAAGGGTCTGCGGACATGATTTCGGCACCACATTCGGCGAGCTTGTCGATGACGTTGTGTCAGGATAGGCCGTATGGCGGGACGTCGTGGTCTGATCCCGTGATGACGTAAACGTTGTCGAACTGTGTTGGGGTGGATACGGCGAAGTCCTGGGATGGTTCGGGCAGTCATCACTGCAGTCTGAAACCTGTGGCGAAGATGGGTCATCCTTATCCATCTGTCCTGTCTTGGCGTTGTTACACGTGGACGTCCAGAACGATGACGTAATTTGTGTTCTGGTAGCGTCTCACCAGTGCAGAAATGGTGTTCCGGTGGCAGTCGAAATGTGCAACCACTTGTCGTTGAGACATTCCCTCAAGGACCACCCCAATGGCCTCATGACGTTGTGCAGACGTGAGCCTTGGCATGCTATGCGTTTCAATAGCCATTTTATTTTTTGAACGATTGCAAGGGCAGGGGTTGAGCTTTCCAAAGTGACAGTATTGTGTGGCATTCATTTGCTCTGTTTCTCTTTCCCGGAATGCACGTGCAACAACGTATTGCACGTCTCAAGGACGAACCCACTGACGTCACGGAACGTGGCACGTGCATGCATGTTGGAAACATGTCACTAATCTTTGAGTTTGAATCCTTATGTGTCTACACAGGTTCGATAAATTTAGATTTTTGTATGCACAGTTTCTTTATGTGCCTAGTGTAGTTCTTAAAGGGCATTTAGAAGTAGGGCGAAAATGAAAACATGGCACGTTTTATGGATAGCAACTTCATTTTATTCTTTATACGACGTTTCAGAGCTCTTGCTCCTTCATTAGGTGAATGCCGAGTCAGTGTACAGAGTGCATATATATACAGATAAAACATGCTTACATAAAGCAAGGTGGGAGAATGTACAAAGATAGCAATATAATCACGAAGCCAATTAGATAGGATTAATGTACAAAGACAACAATGTAAGGATGAAGCCTATGAGATTAACGGTATAACAATGTAGGGGGAAGCCGATCATTATCGCACAATGGGGTACACACTGTGAAGACATTTACCTTCCCAGTGTGTTCTCCATTGTGCTCTTAAACGGTGTCTAAAGAATAAAAAGTATTTAAATGTATTTAAATGTACGCTATCAGTAAGTCCACTATTTCATATATTGTTTTCTCGGTACACCGGGGGTAATATTTCTTATTTTGGAAACTGTCCTGAACCTGAATGAATGAATGAATGAATGAATGAATGAATGAATGAATGAATGAATGAATGAATGAATGAATGAATGAATGAATGAATGAATGAATGAATGAATGAATGAATGAATGAATGAATGAATGAATGAATTTCTCAGCATGTACCAAGCTGAAGGTTCGGATATGAAGGTTGATTGGTCTGCATGATATCCTGTACTATATGACCTTCCCGTCTAAAGAATGTAGAGTTGTGAATAACTGATAAAGCCTATCAACTGTCATTAAGAAAATATTATTCAGTAGCCTAGAACAAAGACGCTCTGTTGGGTGGCGTCTGTATTGACTTGCTTGTGTACTCAGCACGTCTAGTTTTGACAAGAGTGTGACACACGTTTGACCACAGCATTGACAATTCACTGGATGTCAAGTATTCAATTTCTTGTGTTTGAATGACGTTGCTGCAGTTTTATATTTGTTACAGCTGCTACTAAATAAACCATGATATGGAATAAGGATATTTTCTTAAGTTGGTAATCATGTTTGAATATGCAACATTTTCTTTTCGGAGGATAAGAATAAGATGTTATCGTGACAGCTGTTACTAATAGCAAAAAAACAAACAAACAGAATAATATTTGGACTACACATATGCAGCATTATGTAAAGTTTGTAATACAAACGCGTATTACTATCGATAATGATCAAGGGTTTACAAATCGATTTTTGAATGAATATATAGAGTTGTGTTTCGTGTTGAACTAAATATTTGAAAAATCAGAAGAGTACATTTAGAAACGCATATGTGAATGTAATATACAGGTAATTTTAATAAGATCAGTACATCTGATAGGTTAAAATATTATCTCCAGTTAAAATCGGTTTTTGATACTGAATATTAAATCATGAATATTAGAAATAGGGAGTTTTGGAGATATTTATGTTTGCTTAGATTACCTATTCAAAACACAATTGGTCGTAGGCAGGGTATAGATAAAAGTTTGTGTTGCTGTAAGAAATTGTAATGATAATTTAGTTGAAGATGTTTTTGTTTGTCTGCCCAATGTAGATTTTCTGATATCCCTACCTTTTATTCTGATACGTTACTAGTATGCAGTGAAGATCATGGAATTATTCTAAATGCAATAAAATATGTTAAATATTGCTTGTCTCTCTGCATTGAATAATCATTGCCACTTTCATTATATCATTATATTTATGTTCAATAATGTACATGGTCGATGGCCTAAAACGAATAAA